GACCCGCGTCGCCCCCAACGCGCGGAGGAGGAAGAGCAGGGCCCCGCCGCCGCCGGCTCCGGTCAGACCAAGCCCGGTCGCTCCCCCTGGCGGCGGCGAGGGAGGAGGGAGGAGGAGGGGAGACCGGCAGCGGAGGGATCTAGGCGCCCGCTCCGGCCGCCTCGCGGGTGGCGGCGCAGGGGGGAGGGGGGAGGGCAACGTACGCACTACAGCCAGTTAATAGCATCATCAGGAACCTATAGAACCTACAGGCTAAAGTAATGAACTCCAGTTCATGCATACGTTGCACGGCACCTGTAATACAAGCAAAAACACAACCAAGATGCACACACAATAGGTAACCTGAAAAAGAATATTGGTTTTGGCTCTGATGGCAAAATTACTTTAGAATTTGGGAAACACTTATTAGCAGACGTTTGGTAAAAGTCATTCATCAGGCCAGTCGCATGTCGTCGATTCAATTCAAAACACATGGTCTATAATGCTTCCAGCTCGAAGTGTTTTCAAAACAGTCTCTCCCAATTTCTAGCCACATCCTCTACTATAATCCATTCCACATTAATATGAGCTGCCATAAACCCACCTGACGCACCTCCTCGTACCCGTGGCCTACTCCCGTGCCGCCGATCTCGTCAATCCCCTCATTGCCCTCACCTCTGCTATCAACCAGCCCCCTCCCCCCTCTGCCCATGAGACGCATGATACGTCTCCAACGTATCTACTTTTCCAAACACTTTTGCCCTTGTTTTGGACTCTAACTTGCATGATTTGAATGAAACTAACCCGGACTGAGGTTGTTTTCAGCAGAACTGTCATGATGTTGTTTTATGTGTAGAAAAGAAAAGTTCTCTGAATGTCCTGGAAATCCACGGAGGCACTTTTTGGAATTAATAAGAATTTTTGGCGAAAGAATTAATGCCAGGGGGCCCACAGCCTGTCCACGAGACAGGGGGGCGCCCCCCCAGGGCGCGACCTCCTATCTCGTGGGCCCCCAGGACTTCCTCCGACCTCAACTCCAACTCCATATATTCCGTCTCGGGGAGAAAAAAATCAGAGAGAAAGTTTCATCGTGTTTCACGACACGGAGCCGCCGCCAAGCCCTAATCTCTCTCGGGAGGGCTGATCTGGAGTCCGTTCGGGGCTCCGGAGAGGGCGATTCGTCGCCGTCGTCATCATCAACCATCCTCCATCACCAATTTCATTATGCTCACCGCCGTGCGTGAGTAATTCCATTGTAGGCTTGCTGGACGGTGGTGGGTTGGATGAGATTTACCATGTAATCAAGTTAGTTTTGTTAGAGTTTGATCCCTTGTATCCACTATGTTCTGAGATTGATGTTGCTATGACTTTGCCATGCTTAATGCTTGTCACTCGGGCCCGAGTGCCATGATTTCAGATCTGAACCTATTATGTTTTCATGAATATATGTGTGTTCTTGATCCTATCTTGCAAGTCTATAGTCACCTATTATGTGTTATGATCCGACAACTCCGAAGTGACAATAATCGGGATACTTCTCGGTGATGACGTAGTTTGAGGAGTTCATGTATTTACTATGTGTTAATGCTTTGGTCCGGTTCTCTATTAAAAGGAGGCCTTAATATCCCTTAGTTTCCGCTAGGACCCCGCTTCAACGGGAGGGTAGGACAAAAGATGTCATACAAGTTCTTTTCCATAAGCATGTATGAGTATTTACGGAATATATGCCTCTATTACATTGATGAACTGGAGCTAGTTCTATATCACCCTATGTTATAGCTATTGCATGAGGAATCGCATCCGGCATAATTATCCATCACTGATCCATTGCCTACGAGGTTTTCATATATTGTTATTCGCTTATTTACTTTTCCATTACTACTGTTACAACTACTACAAAAACCCAAAAACATTTATCTTTACTTTTGCTACCGTTACCATTATTATCATACCACTCTTGCTACTAAATACTTTGCTGCAGATACTAAGTTATCCAGGTGTGGTTGAATTGACAACTCAACTGCTAATACTCAAGAATATTCTTTGGCTCCCCTTGTGTCGAATCAATAAATTTGGGTTGAATACTCTACCCTCGAAAGGTGTTGCGATCCCCTGTACTTGTGGGTTATCAAGACTAATTTCTGGCGCCGTTGCTGGGGAGCATAGCTCTATTCTCTGAGTCACTTGGGATTTATATCTGTTGATCACTATGAAGAACTTGAAAGACGCTAAGACCAAGATTTTGCCCTCAACTACGAGGGAAGGTAAGGAACTGCCATATAGCTCTGCACTAGATTCTCCTTCCGTTATTAGTAGGCTTGCGACACCCAATCTTACTACTGCTATGAATTCTGATATGTCACATGTTATTGATGATGCCACTTCTGCTATGCATGATGAAACTACTTCTGTGCGTGATACTACTTTGCCATTAGGTGAATTTCTAGATGAACAACTTGCTAGAGTTAGGGGGAATGAAAATAATGAAGAACCTATTATTGATGATAGTGATGATGAAGGTTCCCCAATGATTATGTATTACCTGTTGTTCCTAAGGGTTATGTTATGAATGAAGCAGCTGCTATGGAAATTCTTGCTTGCAATGATAGAAATGATCTTAAGAAATTATTAGCTAAATGGAAGCAGCAGTCTCTTAATGCTAGAATGAAACCTGACCCTGCTTTTGCCACTTCACCTATCTGTGTTACTGATAAGGATTATGAATTCTCTGTTGATCCTCATATTATTACTTTAGTTGAATCTGATCCTTTTTATGGCCTTGAATCTGAAACTGTTGTGGCACATCTTACCAAGTTGATGAAGGAAATATGCCCTAGAGGCAATAATAAAGTTATTATTTATTTCCTCATATCATGATAAATGTTTATTATTCATGCTAGAATTGTATTAACCAGAAACATGATACATGTGTGAATACATAGACAAACATATAGTCACTAGTATGCCTCTACTTGAC